CTTCCTCCGCTTCTGTTAGTTACTGTATGTGCTTCGTTCCTTCATTTCTAATTAATACTTAGTATTATTTCATATATATTATTATCATCAAGAAAAATAAAAGAGAAGAAAAGTTATCATTTTCAGAGACACAACAATGGCTCATGGTTGTCCCTATTTCGACATTGACTACGTTCCCCTTTCTGAATACATCCCTCCGCTCGGGTAATTTTCATCAAATAAATATGAAGCTTGTTCATTGTTTGTTGTAGGGTGTCAGTTGATAATGACACATGTGATGATTTTAATATCATCAAGGTAATGTATTTTCCTCTTCTATTATTAGAATATTTTCTTTTAATGTTTAGAAACAAATTATATATAGATTTTTTCCTCTTGTATATTAATTTCTGTTGTTGAGATAAATGCAGGTCCATGGGGCAAACAGATACGGTATCCTGCTAAAAATTATTCAAGCTATGAGCGATTTAGACCTCATCATCTCAAAGTCCTACATTTCATCGGATGGCAGTTGGTTCATGAATTCTTTTCATGTTACCGATCCCCAAGGTCACAAAATTAAAGATTTCAATCTCATACAATATATGCAAGATTCTCTCAATCTCGTTCAAAAAGAAAAAGGATCTTGCAGCACAACTCAGGTCAAAATCAGAAACGGCAACATAGTCACTGTTAACCATTTTGGCTCCGATTGCGCCACCCTTGAAATTACATTCTTTGATCGCCCGGGAATCTTCTCTGAGATTTGCACCTTGCTTTTCGAGCATTCTTATTTCGTAGACTCGGGCGATTTATGGACCTATAATGGAATTGCCGCTTGCGTCCTCTATATAAAAGAGCAAGACAATGTAGGGCGACACATCATGGATGAAGATAGATTGGATTATTTGGGAGAGTATGTGGCGAGCATTTTAGATGCACGACACTCTCCTGGTGAGCTATTTACAGTGGAAATAAAAAACCCCCCAGATCGTCAAATTCATACGGAGCGTCGATTACATCAAATGATGAATAAGTATATGGATTATGATGTCAAAACATTATCATTATCAATCAAGAGTGATCAATCGACCTTGGCTACCACTAAGGAAGCTAAAAGGAATTTTGGAGGTGTTGCTGAAGGCAATGTGGAGCGCTTGCCACAAGTTTTGATTGAGAACTGGCAATATAGAGATTACTTGGTTTTGAATGTGAGTAGAGATCGACCTAAGCTTATATTTGATATAGTGTGCACTCTGACAGATCTTAATTATGATATATTTCATGGCTCCATTTGCTCTGAAGATGATGTGATAGTTCAGGTGCGCATGATTAATATTTTTGTAACACTTA